CTCTCATTGCTTTTATTATTGGACTTAAAATGTCATACTCTGTGCTTCCACCCATGGAAGGGTTATGTGACTAGTCCTCATGTGCAGGTCTTTGCAGAAGAGCCAGATAAACCAGTGGTAACATCCATTTATGAGTTTATTTCAGCGTAACTCCTGGTGTCTCTTCTCGGCATGTTCTGTTCAGTTCAGAATGCTGCCAGATGATAGGATCCAAGGAGGGGGATAGAAGGCTGGGAATGGTAGACAAGAAGGTCATGGTTCCCCCGCTCCTGGAAGGACAGTGTCTTCTCCTGCCTCTCTTGTCCTCTCCCTCTTCCCCCTCTCATCTCTTCCCTTCATGTTCTTTCTCCATGCTTCTTCCTTCCTGTGCTTTGGTCCTGTTGGGGCATCCATGGGCCTGCTAAGCTTGGCTGGGGGGATAGGGTCTAAAGTGTTTTTGACCACATTGAACTTAGGTCCCAGTCACCTTCCATTCCCAACACTCCATCCCTCCCCTGCCTCACTTCCAGATTCCCCTTCCCTGCCCCAAATCCTTTCTCCTCAAGGATTTTTCAAACCCACTCCAAGGTGGAAGATGAGTAGAATGGATCTGCAAAAGAGCACAGGAAGGCAGATGGCAGACGTGGGGTAGGGCTTGCCTCCATACACACCTGTCAGAGCCGGAAAGCCATCCCAATCCACATGCCAGGACTCTTAAATGACTAGTTTTCCAGGATTGGGAAAAGCCTCCCCCATCTGGGGAGCCTGGGGGCGGGGGCGGGGGGATCAGTGGCAACAGTGAATAGGTTTGGTTTCCCAGGGAATGTGCCACCCCCTGCTCACAGGATGCTGGTGGCTTTTTGGTACAGTCAAGCCTCGATGCTTCAGACTACTTAGAACCCCGCTGGACTCCCACCAGAATCGTGGCGATGTCCGGAAAAACTTCCACCCCAACTGACCATCACCAAAGCCTTCCAGGGTGAAGTTCTCCCAATCTGACTTTCCCTGTAGAGGAGGCAAGCGCCAGTGCAGTGTGTGGCATGGAGCCAGAGCTGCCCGCTTCCTGGGCACAAGTCCCACATCCTCAGGCTATGGCCAGCAGGTGCCACCCAGCCCTCCCCTTGCCGCATTGTGCAGTCTGGCTGAACGAGGCTTCACTGTACCCCTCCCTAGACTAGCATGTAGCCACAGCAAGGGGGTTGGCTGGCCCATGCCAAGATGTCCAGGGTTGACTTGTGCTCCGTGCCCCTCCCAACCCCTGGTCCTTTGCAGAGTGCGGTTACGGTCAGATGGAGCGGCCATCCCCAGGCGTCGAAGCGGGGGAGACACCCACAGCCCACCTCGGGGCCTGGGCCCCAGCATAGACACACCACCCCGAGCTGCCGCCTGCCCCAGCAGCCCCCACAAACTCCCCCTCACCCGGGGGCGGATCGAGAGCCCTGAGAAGAGGAGGATGGCGACATTTGGGAGCGCCGGCAGCATCAACTACCCTGACAAGAAGGCGCTCTCAGAAGGGCACTCCATGAGGTCCACCTGCGGCTCCACCCGGCACAGCAGCCTGGGGGACCACAAGTCCCTGGAGGCCGAGGCCCTGGCAGAAGTAAGGGCCAGCAGAAAGCAGCCAAGTCAACAAGGCCCCAGGGGCAGCGGGTGGGAACAGCCCCGAGAGGAATCACAGCAGATTTTGCCAGCCTCAAGGCTAAGACAGAAAAGGAGTCAGTGAGCTGGCTTCCGCCCCTGGCCCGGCCTTTCTGCACATTCAGAGGCTGGTTGAAGGCAGCCACTGGCTTGGGTTCTCATGGCTGAAGAGTGCCAGAGCCCAGGCTGGATGACAGAGATAGGAAAAAATCTCCCCTCAAGATGTTACCATTCACTCATTCATTCATTCAACCCACCCATCTTTCATTCATTCCTCCATTCATTTACTGACATATGTTGATTGAACATCTGTTATGATCATGGTGACAGTCACTGCAAGTGGTTAGTCCTGCCCTTGTGAACTCACCGTTTATAAAGAAGAGAGTGCTGTCAGTTGGGATATAGCACAGCCCTGGACTGGCACTGAGGGTTAGGTTGGACACCTTTAAGGAGTGAATAATGGTACTTTGAGAGCCTGAATCCTACCTAGACAGGGAGAGAGTCCCTTGGGAGGACATGAACTTAGACCCAAAGCGTATAGAACTAAGTAACTGAAGGTTGAAGACAAGAATTTCTTGTTCCAAAAAAAAAAAAAAAAAGAATTTCTTGTTCCAGGCTCTTCCAGGATAATACTTTTTCTATTTAGATGAGAAATATGTATGATTTTTTTTACATTTGCCAAATGAATAGAACTATACTTAAGGATTTGTTTAACTAGTTCCTGGAGTTTCCTTTCTCTCTGGGTCTATGTCTGTGTCTCTTCTCTCTGTCTGAAGTTGAAGAGGATCATATGTACCTCTTCCAGGTGTCATCTTCTATGTAGGAGGTAGCAGCCAGAGACCCGCCCCCTTCCTAGAGCTCTGTGCTGGAGCTTGTGAGCTTTGTCTTTAAGGGCATCTGATAGGGACTCCAAGGATTTCCCAGCATACCAATAACTCATGAAGCCAGGCACCAGTGGCTTGTGCCTGGAATCCTAGCTATCCTGGAGGCTGAATTCTGAGGATCACAGTTCAAAGTCATTCTGACAGAAAAGTCTGTGAGATTCTTAGCTCCACTTAACCAGCAAAAAGCCAGAAGTAGAGTTGTGGCTCAAGTGGTAGAATATTAGCCTTGAGCAAAAGCTAAGGGACAGTGAGTGCCCTGACCCTGAGTTCAAGCCCCAATACTGGCACAAAAAAGAAAGAAGAAAGGAAAGAAGGAAGAAAGGAGAGAAGAAAGAGAACTCATCAGCAGCTACAACTCCTGTCCATAAAGTCTTCCAACCCCTCAAGGGCTCCCTGGGGCCAGAGCCATGGCTCAAGGGTCAAGCAGAGGAGGCAGGCAGCTTGGTCCTCCATTTTCAAAAAGCGACATCCTACCACCCACCATTAGCATCCAGCTTTCCCAGCCAGTGTGAGGGGTGAACTGCCTAAGGCCAGGCCCAGACTGCTTTATGTAACAAATCAAATCCATGACTGGAAGGGTGGCTCAAGTGGTATAGTGCCAGCTTAGAAAGCAGGACATCCTGAGTTCAAACCCCAGTCTGAAGAACAAGAAGAAGAAGAATCAGAACAGTCTAGAGCAGTGTTTATCAGTAGGTCCCACAGCTCATGTCCCATAGGACATGAGCGAGGGGAGAGGACAAATTCAGAGCCTGAAGTCATTTTTGGAACTCTGGTCTGACAAAGGTGAAGGACTCAGATGCAAGACTTTTTAGAACATTCAACTTATTGAAGTGCACTGTGAATCTCCAATAGTCCTGACAGGGCCCACTCCATCTCCCAGACTTCTTGGAATTTTATTCGCAGAGCATTTTGCAGGCTGAAGCCACAGAACATACTTAGGGAGGGCTGAATGTGTTTTCTGGGCATGGATGCTTACACAGCCCCTAACCGAACAACCGCCACTCAAGAGCTCCCTTCAGTGACCGAGGTAAAGTAGAACTCATGGCAAACTGTAAGGAGCCAGAAGGATACTGCACGTGTGTGGGCCTGTTCAACACCACTCTGAAATCCCTTGATGGCAGACTAGAGGGGAGGTGGTGTAGTGGATGGAGTTAGCCCAGATTCTCCAGTTTCAAAATGTCCACTAGGCTTCATATCGCAAGCCCAGTTTGAGACGTGCAGCACTGTGGTCAAAGTAAGAGGCGGGAAGTGGCTGCCTGTCCCGCCCTGCCCTCCGCTGCCTGCAGCTCTCCACCCTACTGACCACTAATGCCAGGCTCCTGCCTAAACCACTCCACTCACCTTTCTCTGTCTTTCTGTCTTTCGGGCTCATACTTTGCTAGGGTAGGAGATGGGAGGTGATCATTACATTTTAATTATGGAAGTTTCACCTTTCAGCTCCCGTTGGGTTCCAGCAAACAGAGGAAACAGTGGTGGGAATAGGGAGGGCAGTGGGTGCTGCCGGCGCAGTAAGCAATGCGAGGGCAGTTTATGGGTGGTGAGCTGTGTCCCTGTGGGCGGGGAGGTAGCAGACAGGGAAAGGACCATCAGCTCCCCTTTCCAGGAGCATCCCTAGCAACGATAGATAGATAGATAGATAGATAGATAGATAGATAGATAGATAGATAGATAGATAGATAGATAGATAGATAGATAGATAGATAGATAGATAGAT